TAATATGTAAGTAATAGAATATGTGCATTCAGTCAGTCAGTCTTTTGTATTGATGTTATTAAGATCAAATTTTAATGTCAGTCTTCATGTTAACAGTGGCATTGAACATCCACTACAGGAAGACTATTGATATTTAAACAGTTCCAATGGTGTTCAAATGAAACCCATCTTTCAAAGATTCATTATAATGTTTGAGATTTAGTAGAAGGGTCCTCTACACACTGTAGAGATTCTTAATTAGAAGGAATAAAGCAAGTTGTACCTGTTTCATTACAAATGTGCACAGAGCTATGATATAATGCTAAAATAGAAAATGCAAAGTTTTGCAATTGCCGTGTTTCCATTAAATAACTGAAATCGAATTAAAATAGCAAGTGAATACATTTGTCTATGCAACAACTCTAAAAAAAAACATGGCACTGGTGGATTTAAACACATACTTAAGCCACGTCTCTAGTGAGCACCATCATCCTCCAACAACTTTTCTTCTTCTTCATGGCAGTAAGAACCAATTGCAGGATCATGTGATTTGTGTGATGCAAAAAAAAAGTGTTTCTTTGCAGTTTTGCAAAATATAACGATTTTGATTTGACTTAAAATCCACCTCATTGAAGCATAAAAACTGTCTATCGAAAAACAGGAGTTTTTTCGAAACTGTAGTGTTTCCATTTAGCAAATTTATTGTTATTACAATTTGCACAATTTGGTGGCTAATGGAAACGCGCCTACTGATACCAGATACTTAATAGCAAATATTGCTACCGTTTCCACATAGTTTCCAAAAATGGTTGTATAATTTTTCTCAAACTGTGGCATTGCTGCCCAGGTGTCACTGAAAAGAAATTATAGTTATACTGGATTTATATTTGCGAATTCACAGGCATTCTCAGACTTTTTAAACTTCAATTTGCTTTTTTGATCAATTTTCCTTCTTCAAATTTGCACATTTCAACCTCAAAAGAAAATGTCAACACAATTAAACTGCACCTATTGAGGATTTATGACATAAGACCAATCCCTGTTGATGACACTTGAAATGCTAAAGCTTTGCTTTTGGCAGTGGTTGCAGCAAAAACATAATAAAATAATTGTCTGTTGTTGCCAAACATAGTTAGATCAATTAGCATAGCCTTCAGTACTATGCTTGATAACTATAAAAAAGAAGAGAACTACGATACAAGCGGCTTGGAAATTAATTTTAATTTGTTTTCAAAGATTCTGCATTAATAAACATTATATACATTATTTATGCCCTACTTTGAAAGTTTAAGCTAAGACTACTTACATTCATATGCAGATATGCCCACTTATTAAATCACAGCTTCTAGAAGATTAAGAACAGAAATGTAATTCACTGCAAGTAAAACAAAGAGCGGAGCTTAAATGAATCCCAGAGAGTAAGGCACTGTACCAGGATGGTTGGCCAGGATACTGAGATAGTGCTTGTAATGAGAAAGCCCCCCCATCTCCACCATCCAACTTCTCAGCCACACAGAAAAACTAAAAATAGCATTTTGTCTGACGAACGAGCCAGCTTTGACCTAGCCTTACCACCTCTGATTATCAGTCTCTTTCGTCCTACAGCACTTCAGAACCCAGGGCCAGGACAGTCAAGATAACAGTTGATTTCTTCTGTGGCACTACAAGAAAAAAAAAAAAAAAGTAAAAGAGAGATAGCTGACAGTTTTTCAAAGTAACAAGTTTGGCGGTCTTACACTTCTCTGTGTGGATTTCTAAGCTGGTTGTTAAACATATAAATTATGCAGAAAAAGTAACAGTTCAGGATGTACCTGATCACTAAGTGGCACAATCTCACCCTGTCCTCATTACAAACATTTAATATGGCAAGCAGTGACAACAGCAAAAAAAGAATCCCTCGCTCCTCCACCACCTCAGGCGTGATGACTAGGTGGAAGAGTCCCGCATAGTGCAGCAGACAAGTGAATATGAAACGCAACAAAGAGGCAGTGGGAGATATAATGAGCACTATAGGAACACAGCATCCTCTTGGCCTCTCTCCATTACAAGCGCAGCTCCAACTTTCAGCTTTGTGTCTGCTGGAGGAAGAAGCACAAACAATTAGCTGAGACAAGCCGTTTGGATTATGTGCTCAAGCAGAGCAATCAGACGGCTGCAGTTAAAGGAATGAGCTTTAGAATGCCAGTTGGCCAGTTAGAAAGGAGCGGAGGGTCAGTGGTCCTGACAGTCTTAACAAGATGACAGAATTTATAAAGCACTGCTGTTAAAGAATATAGTTACCTGCAGTGTAGCCCTGATAATAAGGCCACATGGGGCTTCTTCCATATTCCCTCTGTATTTGTTTTCTTTTGCTTCATATTCTTTTGTTGTGCCTCTTGTTCCTCAGCGTAATGGTTGGTGCCGCAGGAAATTCTTCAGTCGTCTTTGATCTTCGTCTGGTTTCAATAATTTTATGACAGAGATCTCATTTTGCTCCCCTTTTGTTTTCTACATCTTTGTTCTCTTTCATTCTATCTTTAAATGGGGGTCTCAACATTTTGTCGTTGTGAAGTTGCAGAGGAAGAGAGCGGGTCCTGTCAGGGGCTCAGCACTCACAAGACAACTTGGCCCAACGTTTCAAGCGAGAATTGGACTCATGCCGTTCGCACAGTTGATATATAATTCATGGTGGGGGTGTGAGAGAGGTGTCAATGTGTCAGGAGGTAGAAGAAATATAAAAGTGTGCTGTTTACTGGCCGAGAGATGCCGGCTTCCTTCAACTGAGCTTCTGCAGATTGAGGAGGGATCTGATCTTCATCAAATGTTCATCCACCCCTGTCCTGGAATAGAAGTGACCCCACTAATCAAAGACATGTCTGCTCTGATGTTTTATTCATCTTTTATGAGACAAGCTAACTTAAATTATTAACGTACATTGATTCTGTATGTATGCAATCTTGACTATGCAGTGTCAAGGCTGCATTTATCTGAGGATCTTAAGAGGCATTTTTCAGAGCCACTGTTCCTGCTCTGTCTTATACTAAAAGTAAACTGTAAGACCTGTTTCTGATTGTGGATGGATAATTCCCACCAATAAAGTTCAACTAATAACTTTCTTTCTATTTTGTTATTCTTTTATTGTTTAACCAGGGCAGTGTAAGACCTTTCATAACTATATTTTGATTCTTAATTTTTATTCTTATTTTTTCCAATATTTAGGCAATACAAAGAGCACAAAAAGAAAAGAAGAAAATAAATAAAAAATGTGTAGATTAAAAAGGTTTACATTTTTAAAATTGTAAGAAATGTCAGTGAAAGACCCTTAGGTCCTTGATATATTGGTTTGTTGTTATTTTTGTTTTTGTTGTATTATTATTAGTTGTAATATTACAA